CTTACTGAGGGTGCACTCAATCCCACTGTCCATGTCACCAACAAAGATGATGAACAGTATCAGCCCCAGCACTGACCCCTGAGGGACACCACTCATCACTGGCCCCTGCATGTACAATGAACCACTGACCCACCTTACCACCCGGATCTATCCATCGCCGCTCACCACCACATGGTGCATCCATCAAATCCATGTCTCTCCAATTTAGAGACAAGGATGGCATGCAGGACAGTGTCAAATGCCTTGCATAAGTCCAGGTAGATGGTATTAGTTACTCTGCTCCAATCCACAAATTCTGTGGCCCCATCATAGAAGGCCAGCAAATTCGTCAGGCATGACTTGCCCCGGTAAAGCCATGTTGGTAATTACCAATCACCTCTTTGCTTTTCATATGCCTAAGCATAGCTTCCAGGAGAGTTTGTTCCATGACCTCACCCAGCACAGAGGTGAGACTGACTGGACAATAGTTTCCTGGTTCTTCCGTTTCCTACACCACTTCCCTGGAGAATCTGTTCAATGCTTGACCACTCTTTCAGTGAAGAAATCTTTCCTAATATCCAACCTGAACCTCCACTAGTGCAACCTGAGGCCGTTACCCCTTGCCTGGGAGAAGAGACCGATCCCCACCTTGCCACAACCTTTCAGCTAACTGTAGACAGCAAAAAGGTCTCTTCTGAGCCTCCTTTTCTCCAGACTGAACAACCCTAGTTGGACTTATGTTCCAGACCCTTCACCCTTCACCAGCTTCACTGCCCTGCTCTGAAAGGTCATACATCACGCACGCCTGAGCTGGATTGTGGAACCCAGTATCTGTCAGCATACACAACCACAGGAATGGGTCAGAGTGTTGTACTGACATCCTAAACAGCAATTCCAGGTTCATCAGCTTGCTGTGGAGCTGATGAAATACAGCAGTGGGGTGCCCTAACTGAACAGGGAAATTTAAAGGAGCTGAAATGGCACTGTGAGTATTCCTGCCCTGTATTCCTCAGGAAAAAAGGAACAAATGCTCTTGATCCTGACTAATACTGTAAATGCGTGCTTGGACTGAAGATGAACATCACTCTTTCTGATAAGAAGGCAAGGCTGTGAAATGGGACAGGCATGTGGACTAGTTTGGCATCCATTAAGGTAAATCTACCGTGTGACTAATGACCTGCTGAATCAAACTGAAATGACCTAAATAGACTGAAAAAAGTAAGTAAAAAAGACGGTAGGGATTAGATCTGTCAGTGGTAATGAAGACACTCCATCACCATTTGCTAAGAGATTTAAAAGTGTGCTCATGTATGTAACACACACACCTGGCCAAGAAAATTCTTTTGTTGTTGTTAGGAACCTGGTAACAGTTGTCTACTCTTTATGTACTGTAACTTCATTTACTGGCTCAGAAAAAGAGTTTGTAACTTAGGCTAGGGAATTATTCTTGTGTTGTTGCTGCCTTTGTTTAAATGGGTATTTTGTTATAGAAACTCTGTACTTATCCTTGTGTAGTAGTCACAAGAAATAGCACTCAGACATGTACTTTCTGCCATCACAGTACAGGGTTAACTGCTGAGAACAAAGCTGTCTTCTGGTAGTTCTGCCCCACCTGAATGATCCACAGCAGCTGTGTGCCTCATTTAGCTGGCAGGTTAAACTGACCTTAAGGCTAATGGAGCAGAATAGCCGAAAGGCTCTTGTTTATCTGACCCGACACATATTGTTTCAAGGGTTGTGTAAATATTGAGATGCATCAGCTATTCTAGATAGATTTATATGCAAACTGCCTGCTTGCTGGAGCAATGAAGGGGCTGTAGTTACAAGTGATTTAAAATTCTATCTTAGGTCAATTAGAAGGGAAAAGTAAGGCTTAGAGGATCACATTAGGATTTTTTTTTAAATTCTCATTTTAAGAATTAACATACAGATCTCAGTGTTGACTACAGGTCATCCATAACTCCCATTTCCAATCAGTAAAATAAAGTTTATACTGAACTTCATATTTACCTATATGAAAACAGACCAAAAGCAAGACAGTACACAGGATGTGACAGTGTCTCATAAAAGCAAAAGGAAAATGGTATAACATGTCCTGAAATGGCTTAGAAAGATAACTTCCCTCAAGGAGGTACTCAGGCATGTAACAGAGGTAAGAAATCTGGCCAACCTTTTGTCAGCACTGGCTCTTTTCAGTCGGCTAACTGAAAAAGTCTCATAGAAAGTATGGAATCAAATAGTCAACATAAAAAACTCTTATCTTTTATTCTGGGAGATAAATGTGTTTAAAGCATAAACAATGTTCATGTTCACTTTTAACAATTTTGTTAGTGTACAACACATCTGCATGTAGTTTTCAGGTGAGCATCACTTAGCTCTGTGACATACCTGTTTGTGTGAGACATAACACTGACAACTTCCACATATGCAGCTTTGATAAGACTTCCTAGAATTCAAAATACGCTTTTTCAAATAAAGCTGATAAAAAAATCTAGAAGGTAAAAAAAAAAATCTAAGTACATACAAAGAATGACACATGGCATGGCACATCAACATGCCAACCAACCGATACAAACCAAAATGAAAACAAATCCTGTGCAAATAAAAATTTCACCAATAGTCCAATTAAAATATTATTTCCAGAATCAAACCACAAAAAGACTCGAGAAAATGTGACAAGACCAAAGCAAACTAAAAATCCAATCTCAACAAAAGTCATTTATTCTACATAAAGTTGAAAATATCTTTCAGCATTTGTCAAGTATCTTTACTCCTTTTATTTAAAACATAAACATGACTAATTTTTATTGCAAATACATTTTAGCTTCTCCTACACATCATTACTAAGATTTACCTTTTGAGTGCAGAGTTGCTCTGATACAAAACACAGATGTGCCTAAGGCTACCATAGTGATTTTTCTGATGCTGCTCAATTAGATGAGGTTGATTGTGTAAACATGTAAGTAACTGATATGCTTTAATATTAAGAGAGAAGAAAATGTGGAAAATCTCACTTGCAGCATTTTAATAATGAATTAACAAAATCTCACTTTCTTATTGGGTGCAACATGAAACATCCTTGATAAAAATCAACAAAACAATGTACACTGGAAGAGAGTCTGAATGCAAAATGCATGTAATTAGATGGGGAACAAACAATTTTTTCCTTTTACACTTCAACTGACCACTAAAAACTTATGACCTTTATCAAGCTCTTGCAAACATGCTGCATTACAGGAAGAGCAAAGCAGAATGTCAGACACTGAAAGATGCCATGTTCTAGTCTCCAGAAGTCATTGAAACTAGTCTCCCAAAGTCTTTTCCTTGGGGACCTTGAGATTTGCGTATTCCAATGCAGTGCCAAGTATTTTCTTCCACAACCAACCTTATATAATACTGGGGTTATTCTGTATTTGATTTCCTGGCATTTAGGCTGGTGCATACATATTAAATACTTTTTAAGAAGTAGTATCAATGTGCATGCAAACCATTTACTCTACTTCTGTATCACCAACTTATACATACATATGTACTTTCAAAAAACTGTTATATGTCCAATTTCTATATGGGGGGTGAATGCACACAGATAAACATTTATTACTCTGGCCATAAATATCTCATTTATATAGATCATTAGTCATAACACTGAAATACCATAGTTTCCCTTACGGTTTTTACTCAAAGCCTAAATTATTTATTGTGCCAACTACAATTAAAGCTTATTGTTACACACATATATTACAAATTCCAAGTTTCTCCCCTGAATTATTCACTTTCTTTGTATCATCTGTGTACTCACAATAAATTTGTTGTCTTCTGTGTGGGTGGGAATGACTGATATAACAGGACTGTTTTCAGTCTATGATGAATAATCAACTAACTCCTTCAACAGATGCAGTATCACCATGCAGACAATACAGCCACCGAAATATTTCTTAATATTACCAAAGAGGTTTAGTGGGTCACTTACTCCTCTGTGACATTTAAATAAAATACTAGTACTGCATCTTAAAAATAATATAGCACATCAAGAGTTTTCCATGTAAACCCATTTGAAAAGTTGTGCCTGTGCCCTCCTACGCACAGAAGTGCTCCATGCTAGAGCATTTGGACCCTCATGTTCAAACCCCAGCCCAAACTGCACAGCACCGTTGGGTAGACGAATCAGTTGTAAGAACACTCATATCATGTGCTACAAACATGATTTGTAGGCACAATTTAAACCAGAGAGTTACAAGGACCATGTTGTGTACGGGCAGTGATGAGGAACCTCACCTCCCTGGCTCACAGACTTAAGAAAACAGCTTGACAGCCACTAAGTCCAGTGGGGAGCTCTATATGTAACAGCTGAAGGAGGCAAATCCCTGTTTTTTAAAACATGCAGTTCACTATTCAAACAATATAACCACCTAAACCAAATATCTTAAATTGCAAACATAACTGTAAATTCATTTTCCCCACAAATAAACGTTGCTTTGCTAACTTCAGACCAAATTCTTATCTGTACACAAAAGCACTGCCTAGTACAGAGATACCCTCTGCTACATGAAGAATGGAAACGACTGAAATAATGTGTCCCACACACAGCATTCCTCAATTCCAGATAAAAGAAAGTTTAATATTTTCTTTGGAGAAGAACTCTCACCAATAAACCATTACAGATAGCTGAGAGCTGCACTATGCTCATACAAGGAAAATGAACTTTGCTAAAGCACCTTCCCTACAGTAACTGTTTGAAATACCTTAAGCACAACTCCCAACTTTAAATCAAACAGCTACAATATTCAAATAGTTAGGGGATTCCAAGTGACTTCAAATTTTCATAATGACAAATAGTTTTATACAGTTAACAAGAAGTCAAAAGGATACAAGCTTACTAAGTCATTTTGAGCAAGTCACCAACTGAACACCAGAGAGTCCATTTTATCATTTGTTCAATTAAAAATCATCATGTTTATCTAAATATAACATCTCTCTTGAGAAACAGGAATATTCTTTAGATACACAGCTTCAGTACTTACGGGTAAAATGATTAGAAGTGGATGGATTGACACTATCACCACTGTCAGCACTTTCACTGCTAGAAATGTCATCATCAGATTCTCGCACAGAGGAACAAGGTGAGGAGCCATCAACTTCTTCAAACTTCCTCTTTAAAATTCCACTCATTGCTGCAATGCTGTCACATGCACCTGGAACAGGAACAGAGGCACTGAAACATCCAGCTGCAGAATATGCAGTCATAACCTCCAAAGTAATTTTTACTTAGAAGTACCATAAGTTGCCACTTCTAGTCTTGAAAAACCATTTCGTATGAAATTACATACAATGAATTAGGAGACAGTGAAGTCATAGGAAAGAAAAAAACCTACATCTGAAATCATACTCTAACCTGACATGTACGAAAATGGTTATTTCACTAGAATAATCTGTAACAGATTATTCGGGGAGTATTTTTCACACTTTGATGTCAATAGCATCCATGTCTTCTAGGTTAGGTTATGAAATTTCAAACAAAAAAACTGGCAGTTTCTCTTCAAAGTGCCTTACTTGGTCCCTCCCTTGGCTACCACAGGATGAAGGAATGTTCACTATCAGAGATGAAATCAAGTAGTTAGAAATCATCCTGACCATTACCAAATATATGCGATCGAACCAGAGTTCATATCACCCTGTAAGAATTCCATTCATAACTCCAATATTACAGATAGATAAAAACCAGTGAAATCATGAAGACCATATATCAATTTAGTGCCCAATAAATACCGTGAATTCTGAAATTCCCTGCCCCAGACAGAGACAACAATTGCCTCCCGGACTTTCTCCTCCTCTCCCACACATGAGTTTATGAAAGGCAGGTCCTGCTTGACTAACCTGATCTTCTATGACAAGGTGACCTGCCTAGTGGATGAGGCAAAGGCTGTGGATGTTGCCTACCCAGAATTTACCAAAGCCTTTTACACCACTTCCCCACATATTCTCCTGGAGAAATTGTCTGCTCACATCTTGGATGGATGTACTCTTTGTTGGGTTAAAAACTGGCTGCATGGCTGGGCCCAGAGAGTGGTGGGGAATGGCATTAAATCCAGCTGGCAGCTGGTCACCAGTGGTGTTCCCCAGGGCTCAGAACCAGGGCCAGTCATGTTTAATATCTTTATCAATGATCTGGACAAGGGGATTGAGTGCTCCTTTAGTCAGTTTGCAGAATACACCAAGCTGGGCAGAAGTGTTGATCTGCTTGAGGGTAGGAACACTCTGCAGAGAGATCTGGACAAGCTGGATCAATGGGCCAAGACCAAGTATCTGAGGTTCAACAAGGCCAAGTGCTGCATCCTGCACTTAGGTCACAGCAACCCCATGCAGTGCTACAGGCTGGGGGAAGAGTGGCTGCAAAGCTGTCCAGTGGACAAGAACTTGGGGGTGTTGATCAACAGCTGGCTGGCCAACAGTACGCCCAGGTGGCCGAGAAGGCCAATGACATCCTGGCTTGCATCAGAAATAGTGTGGTCAGCAGGACCAGGGAAGGGATTGTCCCACTGTATTCAGCACAGAGTGGTCAAGCATTGGAACAGACTGCCAGGGAAGTGGTTGAATCACCATTCCTGGAGTTATTCAAAAGACATATAGATGTGGCACTTGGAGACATGGTTTGTGGTACACTTGTCAGCGTTGGGTTAATGGCTGGATTTGATGACCTTTGAGGTCCTTTCCAACCTAATTATTCTATAATATCTACATTAAGAAAATGAGATCCCTAATATATTCCTGAGGCTGAGAAGATTACCAAGCAAACTATTCAAGCAGAAACTTAACAGCAGAGGTAGAAATATTGCACATAATTAAGGAGGAAGTGTACCCTTAACTAACTGAGGAGAGATCAAGAACAGCTGGAGCCTGCCCAGGGGACAAGCAGCCGCCACCATGCTACCCACAGCACTGCAAAGACAAGCACTGCTGACACTCATCCAGGCAAAAAGTTTGTCTAGGATTGAAGACACACTATACTTGCTGAGGACACACAACCTAGTGCTACAGACTTATGACAGAGTTCTGCCAAATCCCAGGAAAAATAAAAGAGAATTTTACATTTCTCATGAAACACAATTTCTAGAATCCCTGCAGCTACCTTTAGAACTCATTAATTCTGAGCCAGTCACATTCTGCTCCTTCCAGGAAGCTGGACTAGATAACCTCCAGAACACCCTTCCAATCAAAATTTCTATGGTTCTGTGTTTAAAAAACTTATCTGTCAGAAGTTAGCATAAGTTAGGCTAGATGGCTACTGGTAAAGAAGACAAGGTTAAGGCAGAGACTCCAGTACTGGCCATACTGTTTAACAATTAGCACATTTCAGAGCTTTGGCCCAGGCCACCTCGCACTCTCCTGGACAATGCAGGATAAAGCAGGTGCCAGAACCATTCCCAGCAGGCAGGCTGGATGAGAGCACCAGGGTTTTGGCAGAGGCCTGGCAGCTTAGCCACCGTGGACAAGAGCTGTATCTTGACACCTGGCAGCAGGAGCCAGAGAACACTAGCCTGCATCTTTTTATCTTTTCAATTAGTACAGAGGTAGTCTCAGTGATGTAGCTGCTTTGCTCTGACCTTGTAAGCACAGCACTTGAGCAGATTCACTGGTATCTTTGCTCACGCAAGACTAATTCAAAATTGTAATTCATCAAACACTGATGTCTATCTATAGGAAATTCTGAGACTGAGATGGCAAGAACATGGTGGTTTCTACCAGTGCAACTGAAAGTTAGCTTTAATTACTTGTTTTGCTTTGCTGACAAAGCATTTTACCTTGCCTGCTAGAAGGAAGGAGTTGTGAGCAGGTTTAAACTTGCCTTTCTAAGCCTAAACTAGAAATTACATATACATTATTCAACGTTTTTATGATATTATTTAATTACAAGGACTAGAACAAAAGCTTTACAATAAGGGAGTTCATTCATCTCTTAAGAACCAAAAGCTGCAAGAAGCACACACACAATTGCACCAAGTTTAATATCCTGTCTCCAGCTGTAGTCACTATTTAACGCTTCAGCAGAAAGCAATGGGATGCGAAATCCAGGCACGACCACTGCAGATACATAGCTCTGCTTCCTCATCCTTGCAGTCAATTTCCCCTAAGCATAAGGCTGAAATTTTGCTGTATGACAGTGCACAGCCTCTTAGAAACTGGTTTAACTTGCTCTCTTGAAGCAACAAGTTTCTTATTAGAGTGCTGCGAGAAAAAAACCCACAACAATACACATCTCGTGAAACTATATCCACAGACCCTTCAAAATCACAGCAGTTTCAGTCTTTACAATATTTTGGATAGCAAATAGAAGAAAAAAGGTGCCAGTGTCTAGCAGGATTGCTGCACTACATAGAACTCCATGCATAATGGTATTCCCCACAATGTGGAAACAGGTGAAAATAAGTGAGTAATGTCTTCTTGCTGTATAAAACTGATATTTCTCTTTCAATCACCAGTAATGATTACATTACAAGGGAGGCATAGTGCATCTGCTGATCCTGTATGGAATTAGGAAATGCCTTTATATGGAACTGCAGCATCAGGTTCCTCATCCCAAAGCTGAGGAGTCTGTCTGATGGCTGCAGTTGCCAGAAAGCACTTGGCATGTTCCTCCCTATGCTCCGAGTCTCACAGCTGTGCAACCCTTACCAGCCTGCCTCTGGGGAGCTCCCCAAAGTACACAGCCTCTTGCTCACACTACTCCGCTTTTAATGTGGTAACTAAAGTGTTCATCTCCCCAAAGAAGGGAGAGAAAGTGAGCAAGAATCTGTGCAGGTCTGAAAACACGTGCACTTGGTTACAGTTCAGATTCTTCCCAATTCTGAGCTAATGATGCCCAGAACAAGACGTGAATTCTCATCAGAAGGTATAGCCTGCAAGAGTAATGTACAGGGAGTACTGGTCCACAATACAGTCAACTTATGTCTGCTCTGGGAACTGGTGCCAGGTTCCCTAGGGACAGAGAACAAAAGCAGGGGGAGTGATGTGCCATCTTGACAAGTACATATTGCCACCCCATGGTTACACCTGCTCAGCCTCTCCCCTGCAAGGGCACAAGTGTGTAGAAATGGTTGGCTACTGTCTATTGACTGAGAAACAGCTGTTTTCATTCGAGAAACCAGTAACTTTTAAATGACTCCTACCACCCTTGTCTTTGACCAGTCCTCAGATCAAAATCCCTTTCCTAGAAGGCTCTGCCCATCTGCCACCAAACAGTCTTCTTCAAAGGCATATGAGCTTTCCCAGGGTCTCACTTTCAAGTTCCCCTAGCATAAACGCCCTTCTGCACATACCCAGAGTTACAGACATTTGAGATGCCTGAGTAGGTTCATGCTGAGGTCTCCCTGGGAGCCTGAAACTTTGTGTTCTTCCAAGTAAGGTGTCTAAGAACAAAAGGAAAATGTAATATGAGTGCAGAGCATGTTGAGGAAGGAAAAGCAACAGAAAGGTTGGGGCAGGCCAAAACCCAGGAGCAATCGTAAAGGCTAGTAAATAGAGTACAGCACTTGGCTTGCTAGTTGTGCCCACTCTCTTTGGACTATGAATCTTGGCATTATTTTCCATACAGTGAAATGTTCTCCACCTAAGCAAAGGACTAGGGTACTCTCCACTGAGCTATAGCTTAGAGGCAGTAGTTCCTGAACAACAGATTCAACTCTCCAGCATCCTGGTGAGTTTCTTAGCTGTTCTGCTGCGTAAATTAACAAGAAACCCATTCAGCGGCAGAACTTCACAAGAAAGGTGTTTTGAGAGGAAGAGTGACCTATGCTCTGTTCTTAAACAGAAAGGTCTATGTGCCTGCCTTCAGGAGCGGGCCCTGAACTGTGACTGTGGAGCACAAGGAGCTCCAACAGCATCCAGCTGAGCTTTGGTTCCATGCGGAAGGGTAACCACCTGGGACACTAGGGATTAAAACATTTATCTCTCAAGCATCTAACCTCCAATGCCTTGCTTCTTGCTTCATTAAGGTGATGTGACTTAGGGACTCATCCTGAAACCTGACTTGGAAGCAAATGACCTGCAGTCCTCAATGACTACAGCCAATCCTTAGTAAAAAAATCA